GAGAGGGGGAATCCAAGTCTACAGTGCGTATTCTTAGAGCAAATTACGTTTTCACAGCATGCTGTGATCAATCCACATTGACCACTTTAATGGGACTATGACTGATAACACTTATTCCCCTTTATGACATCCCAGGAGCAGATTTCTTTTCTTATCACTTAAAGGAACAGAAGAACAGTTAACTGCGTACTCCATGTGCAGTTTATCACTTTCAATAACCTATTAAATACAGTTATTATATTATTACACAACATACTACACCAGCAGCACAATTATATTTTGCCTACACCACCAGAATTTTATTAATCATTACACAGCTGTTTTCACAGGCTGAGTTAAATTAGGCTGAGGGACTCACTGAAGCCAGGTTAAAGAAAGGAAGAAAGTCAAAATTAAAGCATATTTTCCTGACTTTTATTTCAGAGTATGGTTCAAGCTTGCTACAGCTCGTTCAAACGCTACAATTCCCATAATGCAACTCAATTGCAAAATATATGGTGTGCCCCTTTAAGTCTCCTATAGTTTCAGTTGGTATGAGCTTTTGGTGTCGTTTCCAAACAAATGTGCAGTTAATAGTTTTACCATAAACCAACAGAGATCATGAACTGCTTTTAAGGTAATAGTGTAAACTGATGTGTTAACATGGAACATCACAACATGGTCTACTGATTATTCTGACGTGTGTGTACTTCATCATTAATGGGTCAAATGACCGGTGGCACCTGTTATTTTAAGGAAAGACGTTTTCTGCCACACATACCTCCAGGGCTGTATCTATCTAACAATCATTTCCATTATTGATGAATCTATTGATTAAACCTTTAGTTCAGCAACAGCAGCGCAGTGAAAAATGGCCATGGCATGGTGACATCTTAAGATTGCTTGTTTTGTCCAGGCAACAGTCCAAAATCCAAAGAGATTCAATTTACAATTATATAAAACAGAGAAAAGCAGCAAATCATCACATTTGAGAAGCGGGAAATGGAGAATGTTTGGTATTTATGCTTGATAAATGAGTCAATCAACTATAAAAGATGTTGGTTCTACATACCTTTCAGACCAACTATTAACTCCTAACAAAATCCCTGAATAATGTGGTTTAGTACAGGTTAAAGGAGCGTGGAAAGATGATTTGTGCTGACAAATTTTAGTAGAACCATGAAAGGTAATTGCTATCTTAATACCAGATTTTAAAAATATGTTTATTTCTTCCCACATGGTTGATACATGATTGGTGCTACGATGGAGCCATTCTGTGGGAAGAATGGCTCCATCATAAGTGACACACGGGGCTGCGGATACCAAACATGCCATCGTTCGATTCCACCACTATACAGTACATTTATGGCTCAGTGCCAATGCACTTTCCTTCTCATGCTGTGTGACCAATCTGGATCCTGTGCTGACTAAGATCTTCCCTGTTCAGATCTCTGCGTGCTCACCAAACCTGGAAAACATTTTCATTAATCGTATTAATAAATATAAAGGAATGAGTAATTAAGATGCAGCCAATTGCCTGAAATTGCATACTTTTATTTAATTCTGTCGTCATTATTGTATGAAAATGCAAAACCGAGAGTGTTTTCTAAGCATTGGTAACACAGCGCTGAGGGGCGTGCAAAAAGACAAATAATTACTTTAGTTATGTAACATTTTTGGGAAGCCATGCTCATTGCAGTGGCCGTTTTAATCTGCATTTTGTTTGTGTTTTGGTGCGAGCCCGAATAGCTGCAGCACCAACAGACATGTGTGCTCTGCCATTGCCAGCTTGGTGCGGGCTGGTTTCATTTCAGTGCCACAGCGGGCAGAGGGGAGAACATGGCATTGCCCCGAGAGAAAGAGAGAGAGAGGAAGAGAGAGGGGGAGAGAGGTACAGACAGACGGAGATAAAAACAGAAATAGAGAAGAGAGACTGTTAGCTTGGGTAAGTGGATTATGTGACGTGGAAGGGGGGAGGGAGGGGCTCTGTCCTCTATCTCCGCTGCTGGTCTGGTCAAATACTTCTTGAATCAAGGCAAAACACAAACATGTATTTGCTTACCGTCCTTTTTTCTTTTTTTTTTAAACTTACACAACCGTCTTAAAAATGTTTGATTTCACAGGACTAATGGTGTCCTCATGGCTGGACTTGAAGAACTTCTTGCCAATGCATATTTGCCAGATGGCAAGGGTTTGTTACACAGCCAGATACAAAGAATATCAGAATCTCACTTGAACACTTAAATGTTTGCAAACACTTCAGTGATTTTAAAAGAAAACCGTAATTAACTCAGTCATGAAGAACATTTGTAGAATGTAATAGCTGGTGCCTATCATTATCAACTAATTATCTTAGAGATTTCAGACTGTTGTTTAGACAAAATAATCTTGCCAATCTTTATTTTTGACAGTTTTCTTTCTTCTTGATTTTATAGACTAAACGGTAACATTTAACACCATGCTAGAGGTTCTGAGAGGCTGTACTTCTGTTCTGTGAGGCGCAGCAGTGCCATGCTAACATGCTCACAGTCACAATGCTAACATACTGATGCTTAGCAAGTAATATTTACCAGTTTCACCTTATTTTAGCCCATTTGCTAATTAGAACACAAAGTACTGCTGAGGTTGACGGGAATGTCATTTTTTTTCACGACCAACAGGCCAGAACTCACAACCTGGAACATGAGGTTTCCTTAGCAAATCAGAAACTGCCATAAAAAGTAAATCAAAGAAACATTGAAAATATACACAAAGGTTCATCAGTGGTTAGCAGTACAGCCTTTAGCCTCTTTTATACAGAGATCCCACAATAAACACAGAAAGAATATCCGCCAATATGCCGCATTCGTTCATTCATACTGAACAAAAACATGTGACATAATCCTGCATCCGTCTTCACATAGCGATCCGGCTTTCCCTAATCACAGTTACGTGTAATGCAACAGTGGTGGCATCTTGTATGACGTAGAACATGTGCGTTGGAAGTAGGCCTTGCTTTCAAAACAACAATGGCGAGTGAACATAGTAGGGCTGACCACGAAAAGATTCAATGATTTGATGGGCGGAGCCTGATTTGACTGTCAATCTCACAGTGCTCGCTGCGAAACGAGGATCATGTTATTTTGGCGATATGGGGGTGCTCAACATCTGATTTCACATAGAACTACCAGTTTTCTCCCAATAAGTTCATATACTGCCTATTACAATATACATTTAAATATGTAATGCTGTAAATAAAAAATGAGAAAAGGGGGAAAAAAGCTTTTAATAAATGTTTTTGTGTGAATAAATCCAGAATTGTAAGCCTAACCCTCAAAGTAGGGGGCATCAGTGCGCATGTGTAGGCGTAGCGTGTATGTGTGTGAGTGTGTGGTGGCAGACGAGGAACTTTCGGTAGAGACGGAGCCTTAACTTCACCGTTGTTGTGCCGAGTTGTCCGCACCTCGCGGGATGTTCGGATCATTTATCTCCATTGATGAATCACACAAAGAATATTACACCATTTTTAAATAGTACTTGAAATAGACCCGTAAGGAACCGCCACGTGCATACAGCTGTCGGACGCAGGGCATGCACTCAAAATTCTGCACAAGACCGGTGAATGGCAGGCAAGCAGAGAAAAACAACAATAAGACTCGGTTTAGCTGGAAATGTACTGACTCTGAATAGTGAAGATTCGATGCTTCAATGGGCGGAGCCTGATTCGACTGTCAATCTCACAGTGAAATCTTCGCAACGACACAAGGATCATGCCATTTTGGCAATATGGGAAGCTCAACTCTGATTTTACATAGAACTACCAGTTTTATCCCCAAATGTTAATATACAGCCTATTACAATATACATTTCAACGTTTAATGCTGTAAATAAACATATAAAAAGAAATAAAAAAAACTTCCAATAAATGTTTTTAAATTGCATAAATAAATCCAAAATTGTAACCCTAACCCTGGGTCGTCAGTGGGCATGTGTAGGGTAGCGTGAATGTGTGTAGTGGCAGGAGGAAGACTTGCTGAAGAGATGGAGCCACAGCTTTACCAGTGTTGAGCAGAGTTGTCCACACCTTGCGGGACTTTTGAATAATTTATCACCGTTGATGAACCACACAAAGAATAATATATCATTTTTAAACAGCCACTACTTGAAACAGACATGCATGCAGTTGTGCAGCACGAAAGAAACTCTGCCAGTGAATGGCAGGGGCAAGAGAGAGAGAGAGAGAAAATGGTCAACAATAAGCCTCAGTTTAGCTTCGGCTCGCAATCGCCGTGCACAAAAAAACACATGATTCTATCAGTCGACTATAGGTAGGACTTAACGATCCTGGTTCGACTATGTAAATTCTTAGTTCGGGACAGCCCTAGAGCATAGCATTGAGTTGTTTTGCTAGCCATACACACTTAAACCAGTCTTTAAACCCAAGTGAAGTTGCTGCGCATCATAAACAGCATTGCAGAGTTGTCTTCAGAGATTTTGCAATATCCCGGTGGCGGGTCACACATACAATGTCATACTTTTTTTCATTTGTATGCCTGGATACATACATGTCATCAAAACGTCACATCTGTTCCAGCATGCCGGCTCTGGCTTTTCACACAGACATCATTCCGGCTGTTATTACCAACTTTTTTAAAAAGCTTTTGGGTGCCGTTGTAGTTCAACTCTGAGGCTTTGTGAATCACTTACCTTGCCTACACTGGGAATACACTACTGTTGATATATTAGAACATTTCTATGAAATATTCCACTATAGCTGCAACTACGTGAGTCAGCCTGCCCAAACGCTTGTTGTACAAAGGCACATACGTATGGCCCAACATGAAACAGTTTTCCTGCACTCCTTCCAGCTAGTAAGATGCTGTGTAGTGTCATGTCATATAAATATTAGGAGCACTAACAGTGGGGAGTGGGCAGAGCAAATATGTCAGAGACGTTAATGTTTGCTTGTGAAGTCTGCAGCAGTTTGTTCAATACAGGAGCACTTCTTATTATCTTTTTGTCCCTCTGTTTGTATCCATAGGACTATACGCTGACCATGTATTTCCAACAGTACTGGAGGGACAAGCGTCTAGCCTACATAGGAATTCCTCTCAACTTGACCTTGGATAACAGGGTTGCCGACCAGCTGTGGGTCCCTGACACCTACTTCCTCAACGACAAGAAGTCTTTCGTCCACGGAGTCACAGTCAAAAACCGTATGATCCGCCTGCATCCAGACGGAACCGTTCTGTATGGCCTCAGGTGGGTTCTGCTTCGTTCTTCAAACAAATTGTCATTTTTCCATATGTTTGTTTAGTTGTGCTTCTGGGTAGGAATAGCGTGCTGAATGGTTAGCCTTCCTTGATAAATTTTTGCTACCATATCGGGTGAGTTTATTGTTCTTTAGCCAAACGGCAATGACCAAGTGTAAATGCTGAATTCTTCTTTGGCTCTGAGAGAAAAAATCTGTTGTTAAGTTTTCATAGCTTATGTCACTTCTTCTGTCGTATGTTTTGGTCATGTTCCACCCAGGCCTCCCCCTATTTGCTTAAATTTAGATTTGGAAAATATCTCTAATTTCTTTTAATTGTCAACAAATTCTAAACCAACAATGAATTGATCCTGCCACTGAGTATTGTCTTAAAGTAAAAGAAAAGTCTTACTTCTATATTTTATTCCTCTGTGTCATAGAGCTCCATTGTCGCCCAAAATTATTAAAAATACATCAATGAGTCAAACCATTGCACTGGGGGATATATTACTCAATTACCATTAACTGGCCACTGCATTATATTTTGAATTCCACATGTAGCGTTCTATTGCCATGAAATACTGTCTGAAGAACTGCACTACATCGTCCTTTTTGAGTAACATTGCTGAAACTGCAGTGCCCAACTGTAAATAACTGAGCCTTTTTCAAAACTGAAGTGTGAAGTCTGAAAGTCTTGTGAGACGGACTAACATTGTTAGTTTTGGTCTTTTCCAAATCCACATCCTTGATTCTACCTGTACTGTGTTTCCCAGTATAGTGTAGAACGTGAGTTATTTATGTTGTTAGAGTGGTAAAGTGCACTTTCTGGGCCTTGAGAATGAGCAACTCTCCCCACAACAGGCAACAAAATGAATCTCAGAGTCAAAAATGTTCTCAGATGTTTCCCCGTGTCAAGTTAATTATCTGTGTTTAAAGCCCTATTACGGCACCATAGTTGCCCAAGCTGAGAACTTGGCAGTTTTCCGCTGCCGGTCGCTGAGCAGCCAGAGGATTATGGTCGTGCTCAAGGGCACCCCTGCATTTGATTTTTAAGGGGAGGGAGGGGTGCAGTTGGAGATGACTCATGAAAAGAAGTATGAACAGGTTAGAAGGTGCATTAATGCAATGTTAAGCTTGCAGCTGTTGTTTGATATATGTTTCATAAAGCCCTTGTTTTGAATTTCCATTGATCCTTTCGATGGGCAGGTTCAGAAGAGTTAGCGTGACCTATGAATATGGATTCATGCTTTGAATTATTAGCATGCAAAGCGAAAAGTGTGTGCGCACTTGCACGAGCACTTGCCTGCTTGGGTTTGTATCTGTCAGTGTTCATACTTTACAGTCATACATGCTTGATTATGCAAGTGGAGTTCATAGCACTTTGCCTTGTGGGCTACTTATAGACCTCTCAATGCTTTCAAGAGATCAAAGGGAGAGGGAGATATGTGATGTGGTGTTTGTGATATGAGCTGTTAGATAAATGTATGTCAGGTAAGGTTGAGTAACATGCTGAATATTACAGATTCCTATCATGGTGTTAAAGAATGCACTTTCTATATTTAATGTGAGCTAAGGCTGCAACTAATGATTATTTTCTCAGTCGATTCATCATTTATTCTTTAAAGTGGCAGAAAATAGAGAAACATGCCTATTATAAGTTCCCAGAGCCAAGATTTCATATACAGTACATTAGTTTGTATTCACTACCAAAATGTATGTACCAAAATGCTCCAAAGTAATTTTTAATAAAATTTTTGCAATGACACTTTTCTTTCACATCATATTTTAGAAGAAAGATGTGCACCTAGCTAGGTGGCTAACTGCCAGCTAGGTCTTGTTGGCTAGAGCGACCATGGAGTTGTTTGTCTTTGTGGCTGAAAATGAAGCCTACGCAGAAGTGCCAAAAAGTGAATGGCCAGTTGAGGCTGGCTCCAAAGTGAGTCAGTCTCTATAGACCCCCATGTTAAAATGCCCAACTTTACAGCTGAAAAAAAGCCTGGTACAAAAAATGGTTTAGCTAATTTCCCCATTCATGAAAACTGTACGGGGATAACTTTTTATATAAACCACCTATTTATATGAGCCTAAAGTTATGCATAATTAAGGGTGTGTCTCATTGTGCGACAGGCGCAGTCAGGCCAGGGACTGCCAAGATGGCGACAGCCAGAGCCACCCACATTTACTTCACAATTAAAACTACTCAGAAACCTACGGGTGATGTCACAGAGACCGTGTAGCTGGTTAGCTGGTTAAGGTGGGAGCATGTGCAGCCTTGTAAAGCTAAATAAATGGAGAGGTTAGTCACATTAGCTTTATCCTGTGTTTATTTACAGTAATGGCCTCTAGTTGTTGTTGTATTTTCAGTTGTTTCAACATTGTTGTTGCTGTAGCTAACAAGCGCTAACTGGCTTCGCGCTTGCTAGCTCAAGAGAGGCTTGGACCACTGTAATGAAAAATTAATAGAAGTATCAAAAAATCAAACCTAAATGATCATGACATCTAATGAAGATCACTAATTTCAAAATGAAATTATAAAAAACTGACTTCTGAAAAAAAAAAAAAAAACTCAATAAAGCTTTCGTATTTTGGAAATGAGAATGAGCACCGAGCATCATCGATGTAAAACACAGAGTCCGCCTCCTCTCATCTTGCCAGAGCCTTGCGGACAGCTCAGAACACAAACCACCTGCAGATCCGGGATGTTGAAAAGCAGTCTCTGTAAAGACGTGGGCACAACAGTCTCTTGATTTCCGTTGCTTTGTCAACATGACTCTCTGACCGATCACCTCCAGCAACCTCCAATGTGCCTGGTCCATTTGATTGTGCCGGGTGGATCGTGGTCAGCTGCTCTTCTATACAAAATCCCCATCTTCCTTTTCCAATGACTGAATTTCTGTCATATGTTTTTGTGTATTTTCAAGAAATGTGTCAGTTATGACATACATCTACATTTTGCAGACCTAATGTTATGTTGTTGTAAATTTAGCTGTATAATAATATCACCTAATGGGTTTCCACAGCCTCATCTGAGTCTTTACTGAATGAAGACATGCAGTGGCTAACTGCCAAGCAGTCGGCTTTTAATCAGGGCAGACTTAGCCTAAATCATTTTGGATTTGCATTTCACTTTGGTGCTTATTTTAACTGTCTGATCATCACCCGTTTGAGCTCATACATCTGATAAACAAAGGGATACCTCCTCATGACCCAGTTCAGATGAGCAGGCACTAAAGTCTGCCAAAATGTGTTACCTCAATATGATTTTATTTGCACAAATTTTCACTTAATTACTGGTTGGAGGGCAGCCAGTTTTGTTGAAGGAGACATGTACTGGTTTTAAATACAAGAATGAGGACTGCTTGCCTGTCTGATCAATAGTATAATAATGTATACAGTTACATAGTCAGCGTTTACCTTGGAGGGTGCCATAATTATTTTAGGATGACAATGCCAATAGTCTCCTGTAATATGAAGCCAAATGAGGAACTTGGTGTAAAGACAAATGGACTTTTAGTTTCCTTTTAAAGATGATGGGACAAAGTCAAGTGCTATCACCTTATTGCAGTAATCTAATTGTATTCCCCCAGTCCCTTAACATGAATTGCTGTTTTATAATAATTCCAATTTGCCAGAAAAATATTAAGTAAGGGAAGAAGTCACCCTTCCTCCCTTACTTACTTCATTACTATATTCCTTTCAATACAATTTGTGTAAATCACAAACAGTATCTATAATATTATCTCATGCACCCTCTGTGTCTTCTTTTTCAGGATAACTACAACAGCAGCGTGTATGATGGATCTCAGGAGGTATCCCCTGGACGAACAGAACTGCACTCTGGAGATAGAGAGCTGTGAGTAGAAATGCTTAATGCCGTCAGGACCGTCTGTCAGCACTCTATGCAGGCTGAGAAGAAAACCAACACAGTCTCATGTGAATTTTTACAGTTTGAGTGAATCAATATCTGATTCATTCAAAACCTGGTTCATTTTTTTTCTTTGGAGGTCTGTAGCATTTGTTTTAAATCCATCTCATGTACTGGAAGTATGGGATTTACCTGTTTTATATGACAGTTACGACTAATTCTTCAGATCACCGTATTCTACAGATTTAATATCACATGTTTTTAGAAGAAATGTTAAAAAAATTGGAGCAGCACAGGTCTTTATTATCAAGTCCAAAAGCACTGCTATACTTTTCATAACTCAGTAGTATAATTATGTATAATTAATTAATTAATTAATTATAGTATATTTATAACATTGTGGTCTTACGTCCAAATGAAATTAGCCTATTAACATCCCATGGTTGTTTTTTTTTTTTTTTTTTTTTTTTTCAGACATATCTCCCTCCTCCAAGAATGGAGCACACTCAAAATCCGATTTTTACTTTGTAAAAAAAATCTTAATAGTAGCACTTTACATTACAGATCAGTAGTAACATGGTAATTGTGGAAAAATTGTTTTATAATAAAGAAGTAATTAATTTATACCAATTAATTACCAAAGCAATAGACTGGGATTAACAATGGGTATATAGGGGTAATATAGGCTGAAATTTATGTAGGATAATAACGGGCCAAAAACAAAGGGTCATAATGGGGAAACACATTTAAAGAGAGCAACAAGGCTAATGTCACTGTAGAGTTGATAAGAAGTAAACAGACGTGCAGCTCCTCAAACGGATATACATCACACATCTGTCTACATTGTGCAAGTAGAGAATACTACCATGAAAAATTAAACAGAAATGGATAGTTTAGCATTCTTCAGCCCTGATTCATGGTCATTACACAGAAACTACCACAGGTGTGTCCAGGTAATCATTGTGCCTCTTCACCGTGAAATTAATAGAAACAGGTAGTTTTTTGAAGTATTTCCAGGTAACACAGTACAGCATTAAACACATTATTTACCTTTTTTTATCAGGTTCTGTCACCATATAACCATGTTTTAATCCAAATATTGCACTGATATGACCGTTTTATTGTTAGGTTACCATATTGCTACCAAAATATTACTTTAATATTACAAAAGAGTATTGGCTCGTTGCTATCTTGTGTTTCCTTGCTATTAACCTTTGTTTTTCACCCTATTACATAGATGTCTTTTATTATCCAGATATACCCATTCTTAAAACCAAGCTATTACCTGGTTATTACTTTCATAATGGCATGTATTACTTTTTTTTTTTCTCTTTATTATCAAACTATACTACCCAGTAAGAGCTACCAAGGACAGAGGAAATATATTTTTGATTTTCTTTGACATTTTTGTGAACTCAAGTGAACCTATTAACTGACTTGCTTTTCAAAGCAACGTCTGGTTCTTGGAAACAACTTCAAACACGTCCCCCCCCCCCCTTCCCAAATGACAGCCCAGTTGGATGATCAGCAACACTGCATATCTTGGTCTCCTGCGATGGTTAGACAGATGGTTACACCTTGGTGTGTGTGTGTCTGTGTCTGTGTCTGTGTCTGTGTGTGTGTTTCTTCTTGTGCAGATGGCTACACCACAGATGACATCGAGTTTTACTGGAAAGGAGGCGAGTCGGCTGTAACGGGGGTGACAAGGATTGAGTTGCCTCAGTTCTCCATTGTCGATTACAAGTTGGTGTCCAGAAACGTAGTCTTTTCCACAGGTAAATGCTGTGATGTAATGCGTTGTGTATGGGCTTTGGCCTCCACAAACTGAATTTCCTTTGGGAATAATACATAACATGCTGACAAGTGGATGTTACATTTTAGATGATATTGTTCATATCAAGCGTTGGCCTATTTTCAAGCTGATTATTTAATCAATTCCTGTAGCAAACAAATCTGTGTCAAAGCTTGATCTGTTGATCTTAAATCCTCAGAGCCAAAGTTGTGTTTGTCAGTGCTTCTAATTGGGTTGAAATGAGGAAATGCACTGCCTTTGAAGTATCCCTTAAGCAACAGCGGCTGATGCAAGGATGTTGGAATGGTACTTAAGCAAAACATGCTGTAAACGCTTCAGTTTACAGAGCAAATTGTGTCCGTGTCAGGTGGTCCTTGACCCTGAGAGGTGATAGTTTGTTTTTCATGCTGACATTAATAAAACGTAACTGAAGACCTGCTGAAGTCTTTGTATCAAGGCTCAGCTGGTACATTTCATGGTAAAGTAAATAAACCTAATGTCATAAACTGCTTGTAAACAAAGCTAACAGTAGTGTAACTGAGTTTCAGTGGCCTCCAGGAAACCTAAATGATCCTCCAAACCCCTAATGAATATTTACTGGTCAAATATGAAACATGGATGCTAACCGAAGAAAGAGGTGCCCATGGCTTATAAATATTTTGCCGTTGGTGTCGTCATTAAATGGTGTTGTGAAACACACCAATCAAGTGTTGTTTATTGGTTCACAATTGACATTTTCCGTAGCACTTTAAATCCCTCAGGGCAATTAATTAGTTTGTCAAGTTACTGTACATGAAAACATTTGCAGTATTGTATTTCATGTAAGTAATTTGTGTTTCCAACTTGGAGAAGTGTAGAAGGATAATTCAACAATACTCATTGCTCGCAAGGGGTATTCTGCTACATGCCGTGACCTTTAGTTTTTATGTGTTGTACGCAAAGGTCCTAAATTAATAAGATTTTTATGTGTTTATTTATGCCTAGATACAGAACTTTATTGACGCTCCCTAATCAACTGCCATATAATCTGGTCAGTGGAGACGCATTCAAAGAAGCAGCTTCTCCACAGCTGTAGCAGGGTAATAAATGCTGTGTGACATTTAGTAATAACATCATTTTTCCCAGACGTTATGCTCATGAGGAGGAGCCACACTGAAAAGGACATGAACAGTAAATCATTCTTTTGTTTGCTGTTTGGGGTATTTGTTATATTTCTGTTGAGGCCCCACAGATTTTTTTTCCCCCATCTCAGTCTTCCCACAAGTGCCTCACTCTCGAAGTCACTGCTCAAGCTACCAAATCCTTTGCTGTCACCCTCATTTTAACTGTGTGTACAGTATGTCTTTATCTCACTGTGTTGCACATGTGCTGCATTGCGTTTACAGTCATAACTAGCTGTGCACAGTACATGCGTGTCTCTGCCTTCATGTGTGAATCCCATGTGAATGTGCCGAGGTGAGCGCACCAGAGTGCACATGTTTGTGAATCGGCATGTCCCCTGTGGGTGGCTGACTATTAAAGTTTAGTGACCAGTGGTCTGCTCCTGTGCTCTTGGCAGGATGTGTGAAGCACATCAAAGGCTCCCCACAAGACTGGCTAATGACCAGGTTTCCTCCATTACATGTGTCACTAGCCAGCCTTTAATGCCGTCCCTCTTTTTCTCACTTTATATCCCTCCTTTCTATCCTGTATCCTGTCACTTCTATACCTTTTTACTCTCTCAATTGTAAGGGTTGTGGTTGGATGCCAATTACCCTGCTCTCTGCCAAAAAAACAGCCCAGGATTCAGAACATCATATATTTATGTGGAATGAGGCCCACAACATCAATTATTCTCGTCTAAGCACACATACAAACACTGCCTGTTTGTGTGAACAGTATGCATGTACATATGCAAATGCATAAGTGACCAGACAGCGTCGCTGTGTTAGGAGACATTGTGTTGTTTGCACATGGTGCGCATTCATCAGTGACATTGCTATCGTACCCTTTATTGTCCTCATCCTCTTTCCTCTTTGTTACGTCAAGACTGCTGCAATAATAACAGCTTAACATATTCCATAACATCTATATTTCAAGTTTTTGCTGTAATTTACCAGTAAAGCCCTTGAATGTTCCTTCAAGTTTGTGGGTTTTAGAAAACATGAAATGCTTTGTTAGCAGCTTTTGAAAACAGATCTGAAAGTTAAATTTTTTAATTAATATTGCACTGAAATTCATTAGTATGCCCAAGCACTCTTTTTCTCTCTGCATACAAGGATGACTACTTTAGTTTCTAAAGGAATCCCAGTTTTATAAGGATGGCAGTGATACAGCAAGCATTTTTGAAATCTCGATTATGATGGGACAAAATCAACAAAACTACATGAACAAATATGGTTATACAATAGATTTAATACTGTAATTTTAACAAAAATAACACTAGGAGAAGCCTGGTCTGCTCACCACAGTTGTGAACTGCACCTAAGTTGGGACATATAGGACATATAATTCTCAGGACAATAATAATAACGGTGGCTGATTTATCACTCAAAATTCATAGTCATTTGTGCAACAATGGGTCCTTGATTTTAGACAGAGTTAGACTAAATCATTTCTGAAGGGCAACCTGTTTACGTGCTTTAATGTCAACTGTCTCTGGTGGAATTTTATCAGCTGTAGCTTGCTAACTAATTAAGCTAACATTTTCTCGTATGAGTTAGTTGAAAACACTGTCTCCTGCTTTTTTGTTTCCAGATGAGTCATTTTAAAACAATAATCTTTTAAAACAGGTCTTAAATGCACGCTTGACAGTTACATACAGTACAGGATGCTAAAGACTGAGGCTAATGACTGAGTTTAAGGCTACATGTCCTAGACAAATTGAGTATCCTCACTAGTTAGTGACCAAGGCATTGGAATAAAGAAACTACATTGTTTGTGTATAAATAAATAAATAAATAAGACGGAGATTAGATTAACGCTTTATTGTTCGTATTTTGTAACAGTGTGTTACATAAGAGATAAGGCTTTTAGGAAGAGGACTAACCAGTGCTAATGCAGAACTTAAAGCTGGCAGGGAACATAGTGGGGAAATATCGGTGGATGTGCTATCGTGAACAGGGCTTTTTAACCTGTAACCCCAAAAAGTACAGTTAGCTAATAGGCCTACTACTTTGCCTTAGACATAAGCCTCAGTTAGGTTACTACTGTAGGTAGTAAAATCTTTAGAAATTAAAACAAGAAACCCTAATTGTAGCTAAATACCTTGGAATCTAAAAGCTGACTGCAACAGCCCTGCCATGAGGGTGACTCTATTGTTGTACTGTCATCCACCCAACTTTGATAATCATCTCTGCATCCCGTCTCCTCTTCTTCCTCCTCTCCTCTTCGGCCTCACACATGGTGTTCCTCCCACTCGCGCATGTTGTTTGGTATCGCAGTTACAGCCAGTACAGTTCTACACCCACACGAAACTGAACCTCAGCCTCCTCTTTTCTTAAACCACTTCCGCATCTGCTAGTGCGAAGATACTCTGTTCCGATTTAGGCTGGAGGAGCTACCATTAAGGATGCATCAAAAGAAGTGAATGGGATATTTTAAGCCCTGTGACAGTCTGTTCTCACACTTACACGGTAACCAAGTGCATGTTGAGTGTGTGTTGACTTTGTTCACAACTGCCAGACTGTTCCTCATGGGTTAAGGAGGATTCAAGAGATAAAAAAACTTACGAAACTGTACAAAACAACATAACAGGTACCACTTAATTTGTACCTTTGGTCAGTTTAAAAGCCCAGGTGTGTAATATTTAGGAGGATCTATGGACAGAAATCAATAGGCTATACAAAACAGCGGTGTATAAAGACATTACATAATGAACCGTTATGTTTTTATTACCTTAGAATGAGCCATTTCTCTCTACATACACCGCAGGTCCTCTTACATGGACGTTGCCATGTTGGGCTGCCATGTTTCTACAGTAGCCCAAACGGACAAAGTGCTCTACAGAGGTTGTTTCGTCACTACGTGAATACGTACAAGAAGAAGAAGTAGTAGTATTAGCAGTAGTAGTAGTAGTCGTCTGGTTTATTAGAATTAAGAAGAAAAGTGAAATATGGATAAAATGAGGCCCACACGTATAATTTAGCACAAGAGCCTGCAGAGTGTGTCGGCCACCGTAGATTCTCATACACTACTGCACAGGGAGGGGTGAGCGGAATTCACAACCCTTACCACTAGATGCCACTAAAACTTACACACTGAACCTTTAAGTGATTTTTGCCACCTAAAAAAAACTTTAACCATCGAGCTAATCTATTAAAAATGGATTGTATAATATTACAATGATTTCAGTCCGAAAGTCATACTCATGGCGTCACAAGAATCATCTGGGAACCGCGGATGTCTGCACAAAATTGTGTGCCAATGCATAAAGTAGATGTTGAGAAATGTCATGGGATAAGGGAAAACCGTGACCTGCTGGTGGCCCTGGAGAAAAGTGAGAGGATCACCAACTTCATCTTCTGGGCACCATGAATGTCCAAAGTACAACAGTACATTTCAGTGCAACCCTTGACACATTTTTTTTGACCACTACAAAAATATTTTTGGTGTCTTATAAGTCCAAGTGGAACTGTGTGTGCATGACATAATACATAACATAACTAACAAAATTCCAATTTAAACCCATATATTTGCTCAGGTTAAATGTCAATTATATCAGTCAGTAATCATACTAGATAATAACATTTGATGAACAGGCCTGCCCTTTGGAATAACTGTTGGGATTTTATTGCAATACAGTAGGCACAGAATCTTAATGAGATTGTGTGTTTAATCAGAGTGACTATCCACTCAACTCTGCATGCAAGTGGGCAGTCGACCCACGCTCGCCACAAGTAGCTTTGGCTGAAACCCACAGATTGTAAAATTAAAGTATAATGGCTCCCCCTACTCCTCCAATATAAAACAAAAATGGAAAAATAGCTAAGAATAGTGGGAGCAACGAGCCATAGATTCAATCCATAAAGAGGCATACGCTGGGAGATTGATGAGAAATCATGCATCACCCTTATATCAGAATGTCATGCACACGCACGCACGTGTACTGTTTATATTCCAGGTCATGGAAAAGTAATGACAGATGTGCTCTCCTCGCAGTAGCGAGAAAGCTATTATTCCTGTGGCAATGCTGAATCCCTCAGAAGCGTCATATGAATTATGCAGGTGGATGAGACGTGGGGAACTGATAAATCAAAACGTTTCAAGTTCAGATTTTCAGCACCATCCAGAATGTTGTCACATCATCACGTAACAGGGCTACGGTTCTGTGTGTGTGTGAGCTGGTTGGTGTGTGTGTGTGTGTGTTTGTGCTAGTGAAGGGGGTACTAGTTACCATGGCAATAACTCTAACCAATGCTGTCGGGGTTGCCATGGCAACTGAAACAAAAACACAAGGTGTCTCTGTGTGCTCCCGTTTTTATGGTCAACATTTTAATGTTTTAAATTAACTTTGTATTTATTTTTATGTACCATACCATAAGGAATTTTGAAAAAAATAAAATAAAATAACACAATCAGGAACTTTGCTTTAATGGGTATCTGACCATGAAAAAAAAAAAATTCTAAACTAAAAGACTTAAATGCACTGCTTCTATCTCTGTCTCCTCTTCCCTTAGGTGCCTACCCTCGACTGTCTCTGAGCTTTAAGCTGAAGAGGAACATTGGCTACTTCATCCTGCAGACGTACATGCCATCGATCCTGATTACCATCCTCTCCTGGGTCTCCTTCTGGATAAACTATGATGCGTCAGCAGCCAGAGTGGCTCTAGGTAAGAAGCAGTGGCTCTTAAGGGGCATATATTTGGCTTTCTCTGATGAGACCAGGGACCAAAGTGAGCCACTACCTCCCGATGGATTCTCAAAATTGACGAACACGGTGAGAGACCAAACTCATACTGTCGTGGTATTAGTGGAAGCTTTAGGGAACAGCTTGGAAATTTGAGGGCCAAATGGAAATAGATTTGAAGAACATTTCTGTTATGTCTGCGGTAGGGGGGGTATTAGGTAATATTGCGACCAGTATGTAAACATGTTTTTGTCCGCTGTGCCTTTCCGTAGGGCAAACATGAATACACAACCTTGACTCGGACCAAAGTAGGTCAGACCTTGTGTCTGCAGCTGTTGTGGTCACTGAGAGGCCTCCAGGAGCTATAAAAACATCACCTCTCTAATGATCATAATTTCACTTCTTATTGAAGAGTGCTTGTGTGGGTGCAAAGGGCCCACTCACTGTGGGGCTCCTGTGTGCTGTAAACAAGTGGCAGTGATGAGAAGCAGCAGGTCGCTGGTTTGTAATCACTGATTCCTCACAGGACTCTGCTGCACAGTTTTGTCAAGATGACATATGAGGAGTCAGGCAGGGAAAATGTAATATAAATATAATATGGAGGTTGTCAAGACAAGAGCTAAAAATACAATTCGGACAATAGTCTTCGGCAGTCAACAATAAACTGGCAATTGATTGTTCACTAAACGCCTCCCCTCAACAGCAGTTTCCTAATAAGGGGGTGTGGGATTTATCAAGTGGTGAAATATAGGATTTTCAGAAGTTACGTATCTAGTTGTTTTCAGTGCTGCGCTCCACTCACAGGCGTTTTAGGAGCAACATGTTTGTGTTTCTGCACCCGAAGTGAGCTTTGTTTTCAGTAATATTTCTCAATATGTCGTCATTGCTGAAGATGCTGTAGAAGTATAGGAACTTACATAATGAGCTACGCCAAATTCCATCAAATAGATTTTTTTAAAATTTAATTTTTATTTCTTTTTATTATACCCTCTGTGTGTGGACAAAAAAACTAAGCTGGTCATCTCACATGCCCAGTAGGGCTGCAACAAACAATTATTTTCATTATCAAATAATCTGCCGATTATTTTCTGGATTAATCATTCTATAAAATGTCTAGTGACGTCTTCAAATTGCTTCTTTTGTCCAACCAACAGTCCAAAACCCAAAGACTCTTCATTTAGTGTTATAAATGACAAAGAATAGCAGCAAATCCTCACATTAAAGAAGATGAAACTAACTAGAAATGTTTGACATTTTTATACAATTCATTCATTTTTCGATCGACTAATCGATTAATCAACTAATCGTTGCAGCTCTAATGCCCTGATTTCTTTGAGAGTTTGACCATCAAAGCAAAAGGGGCCCTGGAAGCCCCAGATTCAAAGTGTTTCCGCTGGTTTGTGTTCATTTGAATGTGGGTATTTAATGAATAGTCTGCTGTATGGACATGATACATGGTTCAGACTGTCGCCAATATGGGCCGAGCAGCAAATCTTTACCCCGGGGCCGCCCTAAGAGTGCCAATTGATTGCTGCTTTGGTTTTTAGATCATCTTTATATGGATAGATAATGGAACAGTGATGACCTTAGCGCGTCATGATGCTTTTTGGAAAACACGCTTCGATCCATTACCTGTTATACAGCTGGTTAGAGACTGGAATGGATATCTGAAGAGTGTGTGTTTGTGCATGTGTGTGCACAGATCTGTTTGATTGCCTACTTGAACTGGCTTTCTTTCGTTAAAGCATGTATGCAATATCCGGTCATTACTGTACGCCTGTGAGTGTATGTCTACTTCAGGTTTGTGTGTGTGTGAGGAAATGTGTATGTGTTAAATCCTGCTAGCTGCAATATCCGGCGTGTGTCTCCTCAGCTGAGAGAGGCAACCGGAGGTCCATTCACTTCTATCCTGATGGATCATTACAAGCTTTCAGCAGGTATCTTGATGCGTGCGTGTGTGTGTATGTGGGCATTTGTGTGTGCGCCAACCTGCCAGTAAGAGCAGTGTAACGATCAGGGAGAAATCAATTCAAGGAGGCAGCAGGCAAACAATTGAATTGTTTGAAGGAGAATCTCATTTTCCTGAGCAATTCCAAAGGATTGCAAAGTTACAAATGACCCGCTCGCACCCTAATCTGGTTGCAACCCTTTTCCCACAGTCCTGCCCTTCATTCATAATCATATTATATGAACAGTGAAGGTGTGGGCATTAGCTGTAATTGTTCTGGAAACACTTTTAGTGTAATGGTAGACACACAAGTTAAGTTCACTGTATATTCTTCCAGATCTTGGCAACCTCATTTTTTCTCTTGAAACACATGCTAACTCGATAGCTGACAATTTGCGCTGTCGGCAAGTGACGTGTGAAGTGTTCTACACTGCTTTGATTTACCACCCATGCCTCTATTCTCGCGGTTAACATTAATTGCTGCTTCTAGCGCTTTGTTGCATCCTACATGATACCTTTTCCTTTTTAAAATGTTGAGCTGTGTTGCTAATGGCCTATTGGCTTGTGATTAGAGGAGGCTTGATTGCGGTGCGCCTTTGTTCCAGCTGTTAGGGTGGAAAAGAGACTCGGGGACATGTAACAAAGGAAAAGGGCAGCAAAGAGGAAGACCATGGCTAAACGATGGTGAGATCTGGGGGAGGGCGGCGGGATAAGGAATAAATGAAGAGGGAGAGGGGGAGAGATTGAGGCAAGGGGAGTGACAAGGGGAAGAAACAGAGAAAAATGGGAGAGGGGTTGACAGAGATAGAAAGAGACAGAGAGTGAGAGAAACCCTATAAAACTATATTTCTCCCAGGAGAGTGTAACAGCGTGATGAAAAAGAAAGGGAGGGCCATGGGCGCGTGGCCCCTTGATTAAATTGTCCAAGCACCGGGAGGGAGCTAAAGGGGAGGGAAAGGCGGCGGAATGGAGGGAGGTAAGTGAAGGACAGAGAGTAATGGCGCAGTGGAGAGAACACCTATAAAGAACAAGGCTGTCGTTAAGCAAAAAAAAAAAAAAACACAGAAAGATTGCACCATCCAGTAGGGGCAGAGACACGGAGCATGTGCAGGCGAGCTCACTTACATTCACACCTGCTTTTCACACAGCGTCTTTGATGACACACATACACACGCACGTGCACACACACACACACACACACACACTAGTGGTGTTAGCCTTGTAATGTGCCAATAAATCACACTAAGGGCTAGATTGACCTTAGCTATTCTGCTCCCTCCTCCCAACCCCCTGACTGTTCCTTGTCTCTTCACTGTAGTTTATGACACACACACACACACACACACAAACACACACTCCAAAAGCCTTGTTCGTGTGCATTATACTACTGATAGGCTCCATTTATTACAGGTGGATAAAGTAGTAAAGATATATCTGCCATATATCTCTAATTAGATAAGATATAGCGTTATTGCCTTGCAGGTCAGAGTTTGCATGATTACGATTGAGAGTTATGTTTATTTGCTGCAACTTGCGTGACATGTTTGGCGGCTTACATGATAGGATAGCTGCAAAACACAACTGAATACAGAAGCACACTGCAAAAACACATGACTGAATACAGACATGCTGCTTGCCACACCGAGGACTATGGAAAAAAAGTTACAAAACACTGTAACTCAATTTTGATTGCGTTTTCTGTTTTTGCAGCACTTTTCTGTGTTTTTCAGCTCCGAAGCCCATCATTGAGATGTATCAAACCTCCGAGCCAATTAACTTCCCACTCATCCATTTGTTTATAATCTTACAAGAGTCTCAATCCGTGTCTGTCTCTTTCCATTGTGCTGAAATACACAAAGTGCAAATGTGCCTTTACTGTGAGATGGTAAATAACCAGCCCACTTGCTACCCTTCGTGGTTAAGGTTACTAAAAGCTTGGGGCAAGATACATGTAGCACTATTCTAATGAGTTATTTCTGCTTGATGACCAAGGGGGAAGTTGAAGGTTTCAAGGTAGACCTTTGAATTTCAATGAAGCACAGGTTGTGCGCTCGACTACCAGTATGCGCATGTTCATGCAAGTGAAATAAGATCGCACATGAAAATGATCAGGAAGTTGCTCAGACAAAATAGCTTTTTTTTCTCCCCTCACTGTCTCTTCAACAAGGCAAGAGCATCATAATATTTTTCCCCACTCGGTCCATCCTGCTTCTAAGTAGCGGTGGAAATCGCCACAGAAAAACATGTTTTCTATAAAAATATCCTTGTTTCTATAGTAACACGAAAGGCAGTTGGAGTTTTCTCCAGCGTGACCTTCATGTTAGTGAGGAGATAGCAGCACCTACTTAGAATGGTTGGGTGCTCCTTTAAGACAGGCTCATGCTCTAACAGGTCTAGACTAATTAAGCATAACATTTACCATCCCAGATAGATTGGTAATGAGGAAGCCTTGGAGAAAAATGTTAGATTCACATTTTATCTTTTAAATGATGCTGTTAGAATTTGCTGTACGTTTGTTTAAAAGCCTCAGTTGGTTAGAGGATGCAAGAGTTAGATAGGATATGTAACACAATGTAAGTATATCATACTAATATTTATCACAGTTGTAATGCCATCACGACTGGTGCAGATCCTCATCCTAACTAAGGCATCAACTAACGATTATTTTCCTTATCAATAAATCTCTAAAAGATAAATTTTTTTCCCCGATTAGTTGTTAGGCCAGAAAATTGTGAAAAATGTCCATCAGTGTTCCCAAAGCCCAGGGTGAAGCTGGAATCAGAGAATTTGCACGTTTTTTTCTTTCAAAATAGACTCAGAGGGATTATTTGATTATCAAAACAGATGTTAGATTAATGTAATAGTTGACAACGAATCAATAGCTGCCAACATTGGGATTTGAAAATAAGGGAAATTCAGGCGATTTCAGGTGATTACAATGTTGCTCATCATTGAGTACGGGTAACCTCCATCCATTTGGTGAGATACTTGCACAGAATTTTGCCTTTTTGGGAGGTACTCCTTTCCTTCAACATTTGTCCATCCTTGAATCCTACTGTTCTTATTCTTAGACTCTCTCCTTCCTCTTCTTCTTGTTTAATTGGCAGGTACCGTTTGAGTAAATGACTTCCTTCCTGTCACTAGATGTTACAGCTAATGTTCTACATACAGGCACCTGCTATACCAGAGGGAGGGGGTGAGGGTGGGGGGTGACAGCGGGAGAGAATGGTCAAATATGGGAGAATCCTGGAAAAATGGGAGAATTGACAGCTGCAGCTCTAATCCTAACTTTAAAAGCCCAGAAAACCTATTTTCACAAACACAACTTTTTACTGTGAGTGATGTGGATCTACATGAATTCAAAATTACAACAGTTTTGTTTATTTCCATTGTACATTCGACTGTACATTGAGGGGAGTTGCACTTGAATATTGTTGAATTACATTCAATGACAATAAAGCTTTCGGATTCAGATTGACACAGAGCAATGTTAACATTCATTTGGAGTCATGTTTAAAGAAGTCCACCCGACTTTTTGTCTAATATTGACTCCCCTCCTCGCTCCAGTCTCCAACTCTTAAGAGCGCTGCACCTTGTTCACCAGCTAGTCGCTAACTTAGTCTTGCTGCCATCCATTTGGTTCTAGTTAAGGAGTGTCGCAATACTGTTTGATGAAAACAGCTGGAGGATGAATCAAAACCGTGGAGTTGTGGGCCATAAAACCAAAAGAATGTCCTTAAAGAGGTGGTATTATGGTTTTTGGCTCCTTTATTGAGTTATATATCTTTTTGTGCATGTGCTAGGTTTGCAAAGTGAAAAAGCCCAAAGTCCACCCCAAAGGGAGTTCTCATCTTCAACAGAAAACACTGCTCTGAACTGCCTGAAAACAGCTCATTTGTATTCCAGCCTTTACTTCCCTTTCTTGTGATGTCACAATGAAAATACGTGTCATAATGCTTGCTGAGCGACTAGTCCAACACGCCCTGAAAAACACCGGTAGAAAAACACTCTGCAGCGTATCTCTTCTCTCACTTCCAAACACTAGCTACCCTCCAGGCAGTCTTTAACTGCCTTTTTGTTGTTGGAGCCAGAAATCAGATTAATTTAATGTACAACTTCATGGATAAAAAGTACAAAATCAGTTTGGGTTTTTTTTGCGCTGAATTTACATTTATGAATGTGAAATCTTGCCAAAAGAATTAATACATTTTTAATGAAGAAAATTTTTTCTTTACTTTGACTTCTATAAAAGCAAAATACAACATTCTTCCACAATAAGGCTAAGTCTTTATAAAGATGGTCAATGATGAATCTGCTGAGGTTTTGCCAAAATGTTCTGGTGTGTGAGCAATACCAAAAGTTTCTGGGTGGTCTTCTACCCTCCAAGCGGTCAATGGACATGAAGTTGTTACTGTGATGTAGAGACGGAGCTCAGTTAAAACTTTATGGATGAAAGATACTTTTGTTACAGATTAATAACTCACCACTCGGAAACTCTTGCTCCAGTCCAAATTGCCAACCTGATCGGCGACATGTAGCCTACATCTGAATCAAAGCTGTTTACCGTCTTTTCGCTGACCCGCCTTTCTCTGCTTCTGATTGGCTAGTAGTCCTTAACTAGGAACTGTGCATGTGCAACTCCCAACAAAGATCATTTAGAGATAAGTGCAGTATGACAAAAAATATGGTGTTTTTGAAAATTAAACCATGTAAACCTGTTCTGGTACAACCCCTAAATAGGATTTTGAACCTGAAAATGAACATAATACCACCTCTTAAAAAACACTAAAACGCTTTGTCGAGCTGATGGGAATTGCAGAGTCAGGTGATAATTCTCCAGGGGAGTGTTATTGATTATTAGTGCAGCTTTAAACTAATTACTTAACCCTATATTAATTGATTAATTTCCTGTTGATTGATGTTACGTATTTTATAGACTGAGCACTTCCTGACTTCTAAATATGTTTGAAATGACTAATTTGGATGCTTATATGCTAATAATAGTGTACATATTTCATTGTAATCCTCGTTAAACCCTCATAAAAGAAAGTCCTTTTGACTCATGACGGCTTCAGCTCCTGTGGTTATTTTATGCTCTATGGTAGTAATGACGCTTATAAGGCTAAACATAATTTTTCCTTATCAAAGGGATCACCACGGTGCTGACAATGACCACTATCAACACCCACCTGAGAGAGACGCTACCCAAGATCCCCTACGTCAAGGCCATCGACATGTACCTGATGGGCTGCTTCGTCATGGTCTTCCTGGCCCTGCTAGAGTACGCCTTTGTCAATTACATCTTCTTTGGAAGGGGCCCTCAAATGCAAAAGAAGCTAGCGGAGAAGGCAGAGAAGGCCAACAATGAGAAGGCAGCCAAGTACGACGCTGCGAGGGTGAGTTGGGCATTGTTGACTGGACGTTTTTGACATCACATCTGGACTGACGGAAATGATCAGTGGTTAAATGGGTTGAAGATTGAATTAAAAAGTACATCAATAAATGAATTGCGCAGTACGTGTAGGATCAAGGTGAACCTACACATACATTCTGTATACATGCATACATACAGTTGTTGTTCCTTTTTTACCCAACTGGTAGAAGTCAGTGGTCTGTGTGACCAGATAGGTGTGCTATACCGTAATCTGGTGTGAATATTTGCTTATTTCCACAGAAAATGCTGCAGGACAGTATGTAGAAAAGACAGTCTGAGTGGACAGTCTCAAATTTTTCAACATGAAAACAGCCTCGACACTGCAGTAATTCTAAAACTTTTTTGTCAGCTTTTGACAAAAAAGCAGCAAAAGGAAAATATTCTGCATAATCGAACTGTATTACATTGTCACATTATTCACAGGCATCTGTATCCCCGGTGGAGGCTTTAGTAGCCCAAATATGAATTTAAAAAAACAAACAATTTTCAGGTATTTGTTCCCCACATGTGGCTGAATATTTTCATCTTCTCAGGAGGCAGGTAGTAGGACCGCATCCCTAAAACGGTCCAATCAGGTTAAAGGTCTTCGCCACTCACGCTCGGTGAGTTGTTTGTTCAGTGAGACTCTTCAATATCCTTGAGTCAACTCTGCCATTGCCATCAGCTGACATGGATGTTTTTATTTATTTTCTTTTGCCTTAATGCAAAATATCTCCACATCCATGGAATGAATCAAGTGACAACAGACATCTTCATGACACTTCGACTTTTTCATTGCAGTCTTTTCTACATCGAAACGATGCTCATGCTCGATCTTACATTGTAAAATTGGTGTTTCAGATATGAACGCGTTTCTCTTTCAGAGGTCATCCTGAATGCATGCCGTCTGTGTCTTTACTCATTGGAATCATCATGGAAAGTCACATTTCTCGCAGCAAGTGACATTGCGCATGTCAGGGTGCAGTGAAGCAGTGTGACATTCAGTGTGTAGTCACTGCTGAGGTCCCCCATTGCATATTCGCTGCATTGTGGTGCAGTCAGGATTATTTTAGTTTGAAAAGTGTAAGAAAGTATGAAAATGTATGCGTTGTGATTAGTACTTCATAGCCAGCCACTTTGAAAACGGCTAAATTTTAGGCAAGTTTATCATGTGTGAGTGACATTTTCCAGAAATGTGGATATATTGTAGTATTTTGAAATGAAACGCATTTCAGTGACATGGTTGAAAAAGCATGTCTAAACTTACCTTACTTAAGTTAGGGGATCTTCCTTCTAAAGTTGTGTTTAGACGGAACAGAAAGCATAATTTAGAAAATGTTTCAGCTTAACCCATGGATTATTTCAATTCTGAGAGGAAAAGAGAGAGAGAGACTAGAAAGAACAGAAAGAACTCGAGTTCTGGTGAGTTCTGAGACCAGAACTGAACGGTGACCACACACGGTTGGTTACAAGCTAGCTTACAGCTATTATCTCTACATTGGCATTTTGGGGTGCCTAAACACTGACACAAAGACTGTGCAAACAATCCAGCTGTCAAATTTGCACAATAAGAAAAAAATGATTTGTTCTGTCTGAAACACCTTAGTTAAGAACCTTTTGACCTATGCAAACACTGAAACTTGAAATGCGGGACTTCCACAGTTACTACATTTGCATGAATGATCGCCATCGCCCATTATTGTTGATTGTTTTGTGGTGCACACCATAGGCATGGAGTTTCTAAGTATTTCATTAAATTGTTGAAAGTGATGTGGACTTGTATTGCTTCAGTTGCGGAAAACATTCTTCATGTGCTTCAGCAGGAAGGTCAACAGGTTCACAAGTC